CATTTCTATTGCATATTGATAAAATACATTACTTGAATTATTAATTAGTTTTTAATGTTTTTATTTAGAAAACAAAATTGATGCTTAGACATGATTTATTTGAATATAAAACAGGACCTATAAAAATGCTCCAAACATATTTGAGTCAGTTAAATTTTGTGCAGAATAATGAGGTTAAATCAAGAGTTCAAGGATTTTCATTCCAAATGAGAACTACATGAGGAATGAAAGATAGAAACTGAGGTCACAGATGTCAGCAAAACATAAATGAAATAAAATAATCCATAAGAAGACAAAAAGAAAAAAAAACTGTACATAATGTGTTACACATGGAGTTTTTTTTTTATTTATTTAACCTTTATTTATCCAGGTAAACTGTTTAAGAACCACTTCTCATTTACAAACATGACCCAGCATGCACTGAGTGCATTGCAATATACAAACCTACATATTCAGCCGTAGTAAAGTGATTGTAAATTTTAATCGCGATTAAAATTTTTAATCATGTCCATGCAGCACTAAAATTAATCAGAGTTAACTCGATTAATTTCACAGCCCTATAAATGGTTTTTACTTTGATTTTGTTTATCTAGTTTGTATTTTTACCAGTCCTGCAGTTTTTTATCTTCTTCACACATAAAAAACCAGAGAATATATATAATAAAATTAAGTTTTCTTTGATGCCTTGTTGCTAAAGTTTCCCCTAAAATAACTGATAAACATTTATTCGGGTGTGAACGACTGTATACAGAAAGAAAAGATTTTGTAGCTGAACTGAAGCAGACGGGCCAGAATAGTGACTTCAGGACTCACCAGGTTCTGCTGTGTTTGTTTAGAACCTCCAGCTGGTCCAGAAGCAGAAGATGTCTGAGTCCACCAACACACCTGCAAACAAGAAGGCCAGGTGGGTGCACAGTCTGCTCTGATCAGGATGTAAAAGGAGGACAGAACTGTTCTGATCCTGTTTGGGTCCATGTGGAACTCTGTGTGCAGACTGGAAGAGATCCAGTCCCCCAGTAAGAAGCTCCCCCCAGAGTCCACCCCCCGGGTTGTGTTCACAGGCTTGGAGCCCATGCAGGTGCAGCAGTACACCAAGGTGAGGCTTCATCACACAGACCGGCTGCTGTGTCCTCCTGCTGAGTCTCATGGTGCCCCCCCCCCCCCCCCGTCTGCAGAGGCTACATGCTTTAGGTGGGGAAGTAGCAGACTGCAGTCAGAGCGCCACCCACCTGGTGGCCAGCAAGGTGACCCGCACCGTCAAGTTCCTGACGGCCATGTCTGTGGTGAAACACACTGTGACTCCGGAGTGGCTGGACGAGAGCTGGAGGAGCCAGAAGTTTGTGGGTACGAGCTCGTCTTCCTCAGGACGTTCTGCAGTGCGTGTGTGTGTGTGCGTGCGTGCGTGCGTGCGTGCGTGCGTGCGTGCGTGTGTGTGTGTGTAGATTTAATAATCTGTTTGTTTCCTGCTGTGTTCTGCAGATGAGCAGAGTTATACTCTCAGGGATGCAGAGGCAGAGGTGCTGTTCAACTTCAGTCTGGAGGAGTCTCTGAAACGAGCGCGCAGTGAACCTCTTTTTAAGGTCAGAGCCTAAAAACACAAAGCTGTCGTTTAAAGGGCTCGACACATGGGAGGCGACGTCGCTCGCTCTCCATTCATTTCCTGTGGAGCCTGTGCGGTGAGGCGACAATCGCTTGCCCTCCTCCAGCTAAGCGACCGGCGAAAATAGTGCATGTGAAATTTCGCGCTCATACACGTAGACGTGCACACGCGAGCTTGCGACGCAACATATGAAAGTTGAAAAATGTTTAATTTTTGTCGCTGTCGCTTAGCGTACAACCAATCAGTGAGGGTTTCATTGACTGACCAATGAGAGGAGAGTATGCTACACACTGCCGTTAGCTAACACTTTCACCAAGTGATTACTAAAAAGCTTTGTGGGAATTTATTGGCACCAGGGTGAAGTTTATGGTAAGTTTTTCCTCATAAAACTGTATCTTGATGTGTGTTTGTTTTTCAGTATCATTAGCATCGCAAGATTTGTTTAGTTTACACGTCCGTAATGCACACCCGCCTTCAGAGTCAAGAACCTGAAGAAATTTATAGTTATTTATAGATTAGTACTGATGTTAGAAAACTACACCAGAGTATAGGGTTTCATTATTTTATAATACTTGTATAATGTTTGATCTATTATGTGTTAATTAAAATAGAGTAGCTACATGTCCGAATTCATATACAACACATAAGAACTGTTTTTTAAAACCATTAGTGTCAGGTCTTTGTCTGAATGCCTGTGATTCAGCTGTAGGTCAGCAGGGGGCGAACTCAGGCATTGAAGAATCGTGTACGGTGTATAAAAGGGAACTTCCTGTTTTTCATGCAGTGTGGTTTGGCTTGTCAGCCGGTGACAAATAAACCTCACTCATCTCTTCAGAATTCTGGGTTGTATGACATTTATTTCCTATCACAGATCATCTTATTTAACACTTGTTTTCATCTGATTTCAGCCGATATTAAACACGTATTTCTTACAAACCAATCAAATTTTGTGTAGACAAGCGACTTGAGAGCGCGATTCCCAACGATGCGATCGCTATCGCGTCCCGTGTGTCGGGTTTCACCCTGGCTGTGATGATAGCCTTTAATCGCTGTAGTTTGTCGCTGCCAATGTGTCGAGCCCTTAAAGCAGCAGCTCAGCAGGCTGCCTCTGATGGACACTCAGAACTCTGAGCGTTTGTGTGGCAGCTCTCTGCTCAGACAGTTCTCTGACATCAGTTTAACACATTAAAAAAACACACAGAGTCTAATATGTTGTTGTATTCATCTGTTTTGTGTCAGAGGACAGCTCCAGTGCAGGTGTTTAAAACAGCTCTGTGGTTTTTGGGACTGATTCAAAATACCCACATTGACTCGATTCTGAGAGATTTGTTGCAGAAGTTTTCTGAGTCACTCAGTCGAGGGGAAATTAGAGCTTTTGCAAACTTTTCAAGACATTTTGAAAACTCTCACAAATGCTGTTGGCCAACCAGTCTCCAGCTGTCACAGCCCAGTGAGACACTGGTTTTAGTCACCATGAAAAGGTTGGGAAAAGATCTGAAGAGGAATATTATCATGAGCTGGTTAAGTCTTTCTAACAGTTCAACATGTTGTCTTATTGAAGGAGTTGATAACCATGGGACTGTCTTCACTGACTGTAATTAGACCCCTCCTTTGAGGAAAAACAAAGAAATTACTTTAAAATGTCTGTTAGAAATCAGCAATTGTCAGTAGTCAGACTTCCAAATGAACAAAAAGTGCGTCTACTGCATGTCTCCTCTAATAATCTGAACCTAAAAACCAGGTTAGGAGGTCAGACTCTGTTACCATTGTGACCCAACCTGCTGTAAACTGAAAACTCTGACTCAACAAAGCTGGATAAGATGGTGTTTTGGATTCATAGAATACATAAAACCAGTTCAGCGTTATGTTTACTTTAGCAGAACTACAAACTGTAAGCAGCTAAAGTCTTACCTGTGTGTCTGATGTGATGAAGGGGAAGGTCTTCTACCTGACTCCGGGGATTTGTCCGAGCCTCGGCACCATGAAGGCCATCCTGGAGAGCGCAGGAGGGAAGCTGCTGTCCAAACAACCTTCATACAGGAAGATCATGGAGCACAAACAGAACAAGGTGCTCTGACATCCTCAGTTCACTTATTTAATGTACTCATTCATTCATTATGATAAACAAAATCGATATACAATGAAAACTAAAAACAATCATAAAAGAAATGAAAGGAAGCAGAAAGAAGAAAAAAAATTCTCAATATATTTGCCCCATTTTCCCCTAAATTAAATTCTAACAAAACAAAACGTCCTTCAGAATACAGAGCTCCCAAAATATTCATAAACTCATCATATGCTGTTTACATCATCTACATACACATCTTTCCAGTTTTGTTTTTAAATTGTCTTTCAGCTTATTCAAAGCTTTTTTGTTGTATTTATAATTTTCTTATTTATTGTAGCTACTTTTCTTTACTCCTGGTTCCTGTGGATACTTGAGTCTTAAAAGGCATCAATCCAAAAATAAGGCCTTAATTAGCCTTAAAATGTCATTAATCTTTCTGATGTCTTAAAAACATTAACTCATGGTAAGTAGGATGATTGTAATTCATCTCAAATATTAAAACAATTGGTAACATCTAGGGTTTTTTATAATTTACCGAAAGCCTCTCACAGCTTGTTGTTTTGTGTTAGAATAAACATTTGAGTAAAATTGTCCCTTTTTTCCATTTGTGTTTATTGTGAAGTTGGTCTTCAGCTTAATTTCAGGTGGCATTAAAGAGGCGTTTAAATGTCTTAAATTTAACTTGCCTTAAGCTGTAGGAACCCCGTTACTATATTGATCATTTTTACAAATTGCAAAACCTGGTAAATGATCACTTATATCAGTCATCAAAATACGACCTTTCAAATACAGTATTAACCATCACTGTGGCACTATGAGTTGTGATTTTTGTTGGTTTTGATAGCAACAGATAAAGACAAACTATACACAGAGTTTATAAACGTACTAATATTTCATTCATTTTTATTTCTCAAGTCCATATTAAATTCTCCACACAAAAAACTGTTTGGTTAGAACTCTTTTCCAATAGCTCTATGATTTTATCAGTAAATAATTTTATATTTGAACCAAATTATTATAATTTTAGAGTTCTCATTTATTATCTCGAGTGTAATTATCTCCAGTACACCTTTAACAGCTGTTGACATTTTATAATTTACACTTTATTTCAGTTTAAACAAATAAAGCAACTCCACTTTTAACCCCTCTGCTGTTATATTAAAACTTCTGTTTAAACTCACATTCATACTTTACTATTAAAATGAATAATAGAGAAGTGTCCATTTGCCATTTTATTGTCATTAAATTGTTCCTCATTACTCACAATCTTTGACTATGGGGAAAAGATTAGTATTAATCGTTCTATCTACATTATATATCTATGTTCTGTCAGGAAATCTGCAGCAGGTTTATGTGTGACAGCGCCTCATCAGCTGAGGTGTATCTAAAAGTTGTTTTCTTTCTGTTGCAGAACCTTCCTGAGATCATCTTAATTTCCTGTGACAATGACCTGCACCTGTGCAGAGAGTATTTTATGAAAAACATTGGTGAGCCATGCACACACACAATCTATCCTGGGGATGAGAGGTGCTGGTTTTAACAAGGGTTCAGCATTTTGTGTTGTTTAGTAGGGCTGGGTAAAAAAAAAATCGATTTAATCGATCTTGAATCGATTTCATTTAAATCAGGGAAAATGGATTCACAGGACATGAGATTGATTTTGTCCCCATGACGTCTTGTGTGCGTGTCTGAAACGCGTTTCTATATTTTGTCACTCCTGGCTTGCCGTATGTTACAGAAACATTAGAAATATACATTTTTCATACACTCATAAGGAGTGGGCAGAAGTATATTTATTTGACTGTAACCTTATTCACATCACTTCTTATTTTTCAAGAAAATTATTAATTACTCAAAAATGAATTCCTCCAACAACACTGTCACCTGCAATTTCTTTTTAATTTAAAACCTTTTAAACTTGTCACAGTTTTCTTTCTAGATTAAACTGTTTAATTTAAAAGTTTGTCTTTATGGTGAAGAGAAAAAATAGTGATATTGTATTTTTGCAACATGGTTGAACCATTTTCATTATTTAAGAGCAGATCGAATCGAATCAAATCGTAATTAATCGATTCAGATCCTTAAGAATGGAAATCGAATCAATGTAGAGAAATGGCCATGAGACCAAGCCCTGTTGTTTAACACAAAGATTCAAAACTAAGCAGAATTTACTTTTAATATGCAGAAAAATAATATCCAGTAGAATTTTGTTCTCTTTGTTATTACTGCCACCTGCTGGTGCAGCAAGGGTATTCCAGTGTTTTTGTTAAAATGCAAATGAAGAGAAATAAAAGTTTTATTGTTCTGAGTTTTGTAGGCGGAGCCTCAGTTGTTTGGAATCACATCTGTAATGTTTTTGTTCCAGATATCCACAATGCTGAGTTCATTCTGACCGGAGTTCTGACCCAGAAACTGGACTATGAATTATATCCTTTGTAGAAGTTCAGTGTTTTCTCTGATTTTCTCCATCGTTTCTGCTGATTGTAAAACAGAAACATCACGTGTCAAAGGTTTCTGTTGGAGATCCACTCCACACTTTTTTTTTTTATTTTTAATATAGTGGAATCAAAATTATTCACAATTAACTATTGCTCCTCTGTTTATTACTTTATAACCTCTTCTTATCAAAATCAGATATCTAACATAAATAAAACTGTTTAACTGTTTGAAAATATATTTTAAAATATTAAAAAATTTAAATTATTTTCTAAAATATATAATTTATTAGATTTAAGCTGTAAAAATAAATTGAAGGTCAATGAAATTATAAAACATGATGTAAATTTCTCCTTTTTAAATTGAACTGGTGCATTTTAAGTGTATTTATTTAACTATTGGTCCATACATATATTTCTGCCTTTATTTCTAATTATTTCAGGTTCCCTCCATAATATTGTGCCTCAGGGCAAATATAAACCTGCCAGAATAATTTTTTTTTAAAACATCCTTTAAAACAGGGGTTTTTAATCTTTTTGACCTTGGGACCCAATTTGTTGAACATAAAGTTGGCAGTCAGACATTACCAATGTAGGGATAAAAAAGATAATTATTCTCATCTAAATCTTGGTTTAATTATTATTGTATTTACATCATAACTAACATAACTAAATTAAATACACTTACAGTTTAAAAGTAAAACTCCTGTCAAATAATCACAAGACATGATTATGACAGAGTTTTATATCAGATGCCCATAACAATTATTTAAACAAATACAACAGTCAGTCAACAGACCACTCAGGCTTATCAGCACAGATATATATGTATATATTTAATAAACAATAACAAAAATAGACAATTCAAAAAATATAATTGTGGGCATAAAATAAATAAATTAAAAATGCTTAATGTAAATGTTTCAAGTAATAAAAATAAATATATTATAAAGTACAAATGAAAATATAGAATTTTTAAACTTTGCAACCAGAAGCTGCTCTTCATATTAGTGACAAACAATAACAGCAACAACAGCTTTTTGACAAGTTTAAAGTTTCTTTAAAATACATTCAAAATGTTTAAAAATAAACCACAAAAATTAATTTAAAGTGCAAATTAAAATATAGTTGTATCTGCAACTGTATTTGATGTTTTGAACTTTTGATATATTGCATGGTAAAAACAGAAGCTGCTCTTCATATTAGTGAAAAACTTGGTGTTTTTTTGTTTCATTTTTGCTTCTACTTCTCATTTAAAATAGGTTTCCATTCTCAGCAGGTTTCTAAGGTTTAAGTTCAAGTTTATTTACATAGCGCCAAGTCACAACATGCGTTGTCTCAGGGCACTGTACGTAAAAATGAATAATCTAAAGAAGAAACCAGCAGATTGTGTTGAATCACTTCATCACAGTTCTTCTTCTACATATTAAAAAAGTTGTTAAACATCTGAGTGGTGCACTACTGCTACTAGTGGTGAGAAAGTGTGTTGCACTTTATTCAAAATCAATGCGATCCCACGGCCCTCTGCGGCCCAAAGTTAAAAACTATTGTTCTTTTGAGGCCCTCAAGGTGGCGCTCATGGCCCATCTCTGCTTTAAAACAAAAATGGCGACATCATTTGATATCCGTCTGATCAGCCTGGCTTCAGTCAGGTGTGGTCTATGTCCTGGACGTAAACATCAAGATGTCATGTGACATTTCAAACCAGCAACCCACACTACTTCTGCAGCTGAAACATTTATCCAGAAAAGATTCAACATCATCAAACATTTCAGACACATCATCACGTTAAACTCTAAACCTGCTCAGCTCTGAAAATATAATCAGTACCGACCCAGTTCCTCTTAGAACAACATCCAGAACAGAGCTGTCACTGAAAGGTTTGACTCTACTGAAAACAAAGGCACTGATAATAAACTGTGGTTTTGTTTGAGCAGTCTGACTGTGTTAAGATGTTGGTTTCTTTGCATCACGTCCTTTTCTTTAACTTTCTCACGTATAAGTTCACCTGATGAAGAAACACGGATCAGGCCTCACGGACTTTTTGTATAGATTGGTTCCAGCGCACAGCTCTCCTGTCCTTTTCTAGATTTTTGTTACCCGTGAGAACAAAATGGATATTATTTTTATGAAACAATTGAAATAATTATGGAGGAATAATTCTCTTCTTACTAAAATAAAATGTATAAATGTTGTATACATTACTTTTTGAAATAAAACTGATTGTGTTTGTGTAAATTGTCTCATAATGTTGTATAAAGTATTTATAATAAATGTAACAATAATATCAGGTATTTATTAATTGTCATTAATATCAGAATCAGAATTAAGCCCCAAGGGAAATTAGGGTTATTCCAGCTGCAACCGTTCAAGCAGAAACGGAATAAAAGATAAGCACACCAGAATAAAAAAACAAAAGAAAACAAACACTTATGGACATATGAGAAGTGATTTGGTATGAATAGAAGTATGGTTTGGTATCACTGTGTACAGTATGCAATATACTGTACAGTGGGTAAAATAAGTATTGAACACGTCACCATTTTTCTCAGTAAATATATTACTAGAGGTGCTAATGACATGAAA